CGGGATCCTCATGCATGATTTGACGAACAGCAAATATCTTCGTTTACATCCTGACTGCACATTCCACAGCGCTAGCAGATACCCTGGTCAGAGGCCTAAGCATCCCTCAAGAGTTGAGTTCCCTCTCATGCTCTCTCCACACACACACGCGCGCGCGCGTCCTTTGGCTCATCGCGTAACGCAGCGGCGCGGGCACTGCCTGGAATTCCCCCGAACCCTTCCCGACAATTTATTTAACCGAATAAGACGGTCCGCCGGGCCGCTGGGCTGGCAGTGAAAGTGAGCGCCGCCGCCGCCGCCCGGTCACTGACACCTGACCCAGATAGAGGTCAGCCGACCGCCCCCCGGCCGGGCAGGGGGAGGGGCGGCCGAGCCTCGTCGGCGGAGTCGGCGCCGCCTCGCCTCGGAGGGAGGAGCAGATGGGCTGGGCGGCCAGGCGAGGTCGAGGCCGCTCAGATCCACGCCGCCCACGGCATCGGAAGGCAAGGGATACGGTAGCCACGGCGCTGCGGGCTGAGACCGTTTCACCACGCTGGTGGAAGGCATGCTTCTGATCTGGTGCACGCAAAGGCGATTCAAACGGGCGGAATGCAGCGATGGTGCGTTGCGTCTTAACGATATGATTCAACCTTGCCTCACTCACGTTTCGATCACGAATTCCACGATTACATTCTGACATAGCAAGGTGCCACGATCTCACGGTCTCCCTTCTTTAATAACCGACCGCTTTGTCCTTTCGCTAGTTTGGCCACTTCTGTCCACATGGCCACTGGTATCGCGTCAATAGCTCCACTTCTGTCCACATGACCACTGGTATCGCGTGTTTTGTGTCGTGTTGTGTCGTGCCGTGTCGTACCGTGTCACATCCGGTCATTCTGCGTCATGTCAAACCGTGTCGTACACCTCGTGTGGTATCGTGTCGTATTTTGTCGCACGGTACCATGTTGTATCATGTCGAGTCGGATCGCGGCCATACATCCGCCCCACGTAGGTGACGGACGCCCCTACCTCCCCCTTCCACCGCCCCTCGAGGACCGCACGTGCGATATCCACAGTCACACAGAGTTACCCGGGACGGAAGGGGAAGCGTGCCCTCCCCCTCCAGCATGCCCATTGACTAACAGCCCCCAAGATGCCGCGCAGATCGTGCGGACCCTCATGCTCGTGTCGGGACCCGTTGATCCCTCGTCCGCCGCCACGCTCGGCCTGGCAGATCTCGACGCTGCCGACTGCAAACGAAACCACAAGCGTCGCAAAATACACGAACAGCGACGGGACCCGAGACGCTGTCACCGGCTGGCGGGGCCAGTGTTCAAAAAAACGCTGAAGCTGGTCGGTCCACCGACGCCGCCTCGGCGGACCGGACCGGCCCCTCCCTCTTCCTCGGCCGGAGGCGAGGCGTCGCAATCTGCCTAAAACGCCGAGCGGCTGCGGCGGCCGACAGAAGGCGACAGCCCACCGGCGGCCAGACTGGGACGTCTGACGCGCCGCCGAGCGGCCGCGGCGGCCGACAGAAGGCGACAGCCCGCCGGCGGCCAGACAGGGACGCCTGACGCGCCGCCGAGCGGCTGCCGGCGCGACGACCGAGATAGTACGCCACGGCCGACGGCGTCAAAGGCGCGCCGCGCGCCGCGGCCCGCCGCCGCCCGTCGGCCGTATCTGATCGTAACCGTGTTTCCCGCAGGGCTCCGCCACTCACGGACGTGATCCGGCGACAATGGAAAGTTCCATTGTTCGGGCCGACCGGGCGGGTTCAGCGAGGACCGGTGCGGCGCTGTGCACGCCCCGCGCCTCCAGATCTGGCGCTGCACCCGAGGCGGCACCGGGTGACGTAACAGAGTGCCGTGCTGCGGCGGGAGGCGGTGCGGATACAGACGGAGAGTGCCGAGAAAGGCTCGCCAACCAAAGCCGCCGCCACGAGGATCTGACACCGGGGAGGCGTTAAAGCACGGCTGATTGCAACTGAAGCTGGTTGCCCGTTGCCGCCCCGGTATATCCCTCTCCACCCATCACCGGTACATCCCTCTCCACCCATCACCGGTATGGGCAATATGGTCCCAGGCTCCCTTTGCCCTGAAACGTCGGGCTTCCGCGTGTGGACGGCCTGTGTCTCGGTACCGACATCCCGCACTCCGTCCTTGGGCGACCCGGCGGAGACAGACCGCTGTGCGGGCGCACCACAGCTGCCTAAGCCGCCTCGGGGAGTAGTACCCACCCTCCCCTCCCCTCCGCGGCGGCAACACGCGGTCACGCGCTGCGACATCAGCCGTGCTGCCGTCTCCGTCCCTGTGGGCCTGACTCTGCGCCCCGAGCGTCACGGCATCCGGCCCGTCAACGTGTCCGGTACCAGTCCGAGACCTGCCCGACTGTCCCCGGTACCAGTCCAAGATCTGCCCGACTGTCCCCGGTACCAGTCCGAGACCTGCCCGACTGTCCCCGGTACCAGTCTGAGTTCTGCCCGACTGTCCCGGTACCAGTCCGAGACCTGCCCGACTGTCCCCGGTACCAGTCCGAGATCTTCCCGACTGTCCCCGGCACCAGTCCGAGATCTTCCCGACTGTCCCCGGTACCAGTCTGAGATCTGCCCGACTGTCCCCGGTACCAGTCCGAGACCTGCCCGACTGTCCCCGGCACCGGTCCGAGATCTCCCCGACTGTCCCCGGTACCGGTCAGAGACCTGTCCGACTGTCCCCAGCCCCCGAAGCTCGGCTCCCACCCGTCTGGCCAGCGCTCCACTGCCCTGGTACCCCCTCCCCTCCCCCCCCCCCCCCCCCCCCTGCTGATCCCTTCGCACTCAGAGCCGGCGCCTGGCTGCATACACGCGCACGTGTGCCTCTCTCTCCCCGGGCGCCGGTCTCGCAGCACGTGTACCGGACCTGGCGCGCCGTCGGCCCGTCGGCCGGCCGGACCCGGCGCACCCACGGCAGCCGCGGCCAAACCGCCGGACGCAGCAACTCACGCCGCTCAAATATCACGGAAAATATGGCGACGTGTACCGCGTCACGGCGAGCGCACGTGGGCATGAACACCGCAGACGTGGCGGCGGCCGCGACGGCGGTAACTCCCCTGGCAGGCGGAATTCGGCGTCAGCAGGCGGTGATCGCCACCACGTGCGAGCGCAACAGCCTGCGGGGAAGCGACGCGAAACGCTCGGACGGAGAATCTCGGAACGCAGCTGGCCAGAATCGCGAAAGTGGCAGCAGACGGTGGTGGGCGGCCGGTTAACGGCGGCCAGACGTCGGACCACCGCCGCCAGGGTGCACCGATCGTCCGTAGCGACGGCATCTCATCATACTCCTCTCCCGCCTCATCACACCTGATCACCTCATCACAGCATCCCCGGGGCTCTTTCTCACCCTCTCCAGTGACTCCGCCCCTGCGGCCGGCGGAAGACGCGGGGCGAGCAGCTTGGAAATCCCACCAATGCGGGCCGGCAGCGGCTCGGCTCGCCCGGCTGACAGCGGGCGGCAGGCCGCCGCCGCTGCCGTCACCGGTTCGGGCCTGCAGCGGCTCGGCCCGCCCGAGCCGAGCCGCTGCCGCTGGCTGTGCAGGGCCCTAGAGGCGCCCCAGGGCGGCTGGGGCCGGCCGGCTCCAGACAAGCTCCGCAGCGCTGGCCACAACCTCCGAACAAGTCACGGCGGAGCACCACTTGCTGCCAGGTGTATCTGATCTGCCCCCGCCGCTCTCTCCAGTCTTCCCCATGCCAAGGCCCTGAAATGGTCACTTCTGTCCGAAAAGGCCCTATACAAGCCGTAATCCGGGCGTGGCGCTGCATCCGCCATCGCATCGCCACCGCCTTGAACGGCCGCGCTCCCTCTCCCACCGAACACGGCGAATGGAGCCGCCGCGCGCGGCACCGGACAGCCAGCCCCGGAGCGTCATCGCCGCGGTGGACCACAGGCACGCGGCGCGGGCGGCGCGGGCGGCGCGGGCGGCGTACAGGGTGCATGGGGTGTCCCGGCAGACCCGGCAGCGTCAGCTGGGCCAGAGTCGCCGTCAGGACCGTGTTTGACGGTACGCCACACGGTGTCGTAGGCAACTGACATACCACGCTCAGGGTTTCAGGCTATTGTTCCACGATACCGCGGTGAACCATCCTGAACTGACGCCGGAGGAAGCCGCACGCTCCAGAGACGACGATCAATATACCGCATTCCATCAAATATTCCAGTAAAATATGGTGATGCGATGTGGGGCTCCGTCGAAAATATGGCCGGCCAGAGTGTGGGAACAAACTTCAAGGTCAACAATCATCCCCATCCATCGTCAGATACATCATTAGCTCGAGAACTAAGCTCAGGAAAACCTGACCCAATTCCGGTGTCGTGACGGTTTTTGCGAGACGCGTTATCCTCAGCGTCAGCTCATCCGAGGCCATCGAACAGGAAGACATTCCACCTCCGACCAACGCAAATAAGGCACCCCCAAATAAAGGCAATGCCTTCTTATGCCGGCCTCTGCCCGTCATGCCGCGGCCTCCAAATCAACGACGAACTCGGCCCATTATTCGCCCCACTTGTACTCGTTTGTTTGTCGTCAGTATCTCCGTATTTGCCACCGAGATCCGGCTGCGGCCGCTGTCCCGGCGCCGCTGACGCTTTAAGGTCCGACTGCGGAGGCTGTCCCGGCGCCGCAGGCGCCCTAAAGTCCGGCTGCGGAAGCTGTCCCGGCGCCGCTGACGCTTTAAGGTCCGACTGCGGAGGCTGTCCCGGCGCCGCCGGCGCTCTAAAGTCCGGCTGCGGCCGCTGTCCCGGCGCCGCTGACGCTTTAAGGTCCGACTGCGGAGGCTGTCCCGGCGCCGCCGGCTCTCTAAAGTCCGGCTGCGGCCGCTGTCCCGGCGCCGCTGACGCTTTAAGGTCCGACTGCGGAGGCTGTCCCGGCGCCGCCGGCGCTTTAAAGTCCGGCTGCGGAAGCTGTCCCGGCGCAGCCGACGCTTTAAGGTCTTTAAGGCGCCGGGCGAATGGCGCCACGGCCGCGTGGCGGCGCGGGCAGGTACTCACTTCTTGATGCCGCCGGCAGAGGCGCTGCTGTCACTCTCTTCGCCTCGCTCCCGGGCGCTGGAAAACAGAAAGCACAGTAGTCAGTACGAAAAAGAAGGGTCATTCTTACAACCACAGTGCTTGCAGCCTAGTCCAACGGGGGTGGCACCCGGGGAGACGTCAACGACGCCAAAGACATAACATTCGGTAAGGATAGCTGGTCAGTGATGTATTTTGATCATTACATGCGTTCCGCTATTGCACTCTGCCCCAAAAGGGGCAAAAAAAAAACAGCTGGACAAGACGGATCCAGCACCCTGTCTGCTACCACTGTGACCAGTGAGGCAGCGCTGCTCCCGAGGTTTTCTGCAGGCCGCAGGAATTGCGCTCCCTGCACCCTGTAATCGGCAGCGGCCACTGAGCAGCGCCGTCTGCATTAACCACTGCGTGTCTGGCAAACCAGAGGTACGGAGTTCGATTCCCCGCGATGCCCACCCTTCCCGCCAGGGTGAGAGGCAGGCGACGCCATATAGCCTCAGTAGTTGGATGCGTCGTAAAACTCCAATGACAATGACAATGACACCGAGCAGCGCCGCTCCCCGGGTGACCTCCCACCGCGGGAGTCACGCTGCCTGTACCCTTCAGTCGGCGCCGGTCCGTACCGTCCCGACAATGGAACACAGGCGGAAGCGGCGGCGGAGGGCGCGACGGGCCGGCGGAGGCAGACGAAACGACCGAGGCTCTGGTGGGGGCCGACCAGACGACCGAGGCCCCGGCGAGGACACACCAGACGACTGAGGCCCCGGCAGGGGCAGACCAGACGACCGAGGCCCCCGTGGGGACAGACTAGACGACGGGGGCCCCGGCCGCCGGCGGGGACACATTGGACGACCGGGGCCCCGGCGGGGACAGACAAGACGACCGAGGCCCCGGGGGATAGACCATACAACCGAGGCCCCGGCGAAGACATATTGGACGACCGAGGCCCGGGCGGGGACACACCGGACGACTGAGGCCCCATCGGGGACCTTCCAGACGACCGAGGCCCCGGCGAGGACAGGCCGGACCACCGAGGCCCCGGCTCGTCCAGAGCCACGCCGCCGGCCAGCTGGTCCGCTGGCGCCGATAGCGCGGCTCCAGCGGCCAGCCGCTGATGAGCGCGATAACGGACGGCCTTGGTGACGGGCTGCGGTGCCGTTAACGCCCCAGTGCACGCTTCGCGTTTTTTTTTTCCACGAGCGGGGCCGAACTCGTTTCGTTTGAACGCTGGTGACAGTTTCCTTCCGAACAACAAAGTTGACAACGACCTTGTGACTGGCAACGACTTTCCACGCAGCGTTTCAGCCCTGTTTCAGCCCTGTTTCAGCCCTGTTCGCATGGAGACCACAATCTGCTGGCACTGGAACGTTGAATACTGTTCGCCTGGCCGCATATCAGGACAGGGCGATGGATGCGTTCAGCAGTGAGAAAGGGCGAGCCCGAGGGCAGAGCAGCGGCGGGCGTGTCCGTCCGAGTTCAGCCGAGCCCGAGGGCAGAGCAGCGGCGGGCGTGTCCGTCCGAGCTCAGCCGAGCTCGAGGGCAGAGCAGCGGCGGGCGTGTCCGTCCGAGTTCAGCCGAGCCCGAGGGCAGAGCAGCGGCGGGCGTGTCCGTCCGAGCTCAGCCGAGCCCGAGGGCAGAGCAGCGGCGGGCGTGTCCGTCCGAGTTCAGCCGAGCCCGAGGGCAGAGCAGCGGCGGGCGTGTCCGTCCGAGCTCAGCCGAGCCCGAGGGCAGAGCAGCGGCGGGCGTGTCCGTCCGAGCTCAGCCGAGCCCGAGGGCAGAGCAGCGGCGGACGTGTCCGTCCGAGCTCAGCCCAGTCCGAGACTCGCTCCGTCCCGTGACAGCTGGGACACGGACAACGGCTGAGGTGGCGGCGTGTGACATCGAGAGCTACTCTCTTAGCACCGCCTTCGGAAGACGGCACTGCTCGCTGTGTGGCGGAACAAGCGACTCGAATAAGCATCGGACCGGTTCGTCGAGAGCTCTACTAGCTTGGTTCACAACCCGCTCCGTGCCTGCACAGCCTGTTCATACACTAGCAACACAAAATGGCAAAGCTAGCTTCAACTGCCTCAAACATAGGCATTCAGACCCCGACATTTTCGGAACACTGCCACATGCTTCAAGTGTTCCGTGCATTCAGCCTTTTTGAAAACGGCCCCGTCACGTCAAGTGGTATACCTCCCTCGTTCCGCTCATCATTCGTGTGAGGAGCAGAGCAGGTCAATCCGCGCCACCTGCCGGGTGGAGACGAGGGACGCCTGTTCACATTATAGTCCTCAACGCCGACAGGAAGAGCACACATCGCCGCCCTGGAACCGATGACAAGCTTACCGCAATCGCGTCTAGATGGACCATGAAACTGAACTTGAAACGCAACTGATGAGCCCACGACAGAGCGTGGTTTGTGTATTTACCCAATGTATCTGCTGCATCCGAAATCTCCACGCTAGTTGTTCAGTTCATTCGTTTTACGCGAGACAATTCCCGACGCCTGTCGTCCCAACAGGTGACTGGACACACATGAAGGCATGTATACCAGCTCACACGCAGTTCGCCTGAAGATGCTGTCCCCTGGACACGCCGTCCTCTAGACATGCCGTCCCCTTAACACGCCGTCCTCCAAACACACCGTTCCTCAAACATACCGCTCCCTAAACACGCCTTCGCTCTGAACACACCTTTCCCCAAACCCACCGCTCCCCAAACACACCGCTCCCTTAAACACATCGTCCCTTAAATACACCACCCCTATAACACACCGTCCCTCCAAACACGCCTTGCCCTGAACACACCGCTCCCTCAAAGACAGCGTCCCCCAAATGCCATAGCACACCGTTCCCCTAAACACGTCTTCCTCTAAGCACACCGTCCCCCAAATACACCGCATCCATAAGCATAACGTCCCCCAAATACACCACTCCCTCAAACACACCGTCCCTCAAATACACGGTCCCCATAAATACGCCGTCCCCCTAAACTCGCCTTCCCCTAAACACATCGTCCCCCAAACACACCACTCCCGCGACCACACCGTCCTCCACATACACCGCCCGCGTAAACACACTGTCCCCCTGAACACGTTTCGCCCTTAACACGCCTCTTCCCTAAACACACTGTCCCCATACACAAGCCGTCCCCTAAGCAAGCTGTTCCTTGAAACGGCGCTTCTCCAAACACGCCGTCTCCCCCCGGGCCGATCTACGGCGCAATATCGGACTTTCTGCAGCCGGAAATCAATCCGAGGACAACAGCTGCGCCGTGGCCGGTGGCCATGAAGCGGTGCCTCTGCAGGGTCGCCGGGAAGCCCCAGGCCACGTGCCCGCCCGCCGGCTGGAGGCCATCGCCCCGGTGATTTGCCCTCGCGTGTTTAGCGGCGCCGACCAAGGCCTCTGCGACGACGCTTTCCACCCGAACACAGCGGCGGCCAGCCGGGGCCGTCACGTCACCGAGCCGTGCTGACCTTCCCCTCAGACGACCTCTGAGGTCACACAGATGGTCAGCGGCCTGGACAGCGGAATACACCAGCGTCTGACCCCAAACGTGTGCAGGGGACACTGGCGACAAAAGCTGCCCCTCCGTGGGACAGCGCCATCCGCGGACGACCGTGAAAACCACGCCTACAGCGGAACGAGCCTGCGACAAGCCGCGCCCGGGAACATCACAGTCCCACTGGCTGGACGACTGCGTCGGGCTGGGGTCTTCACCGGTAACCGCCCCACCGATCAGTGGGCAACAGGGCACCAGCCGGACACCTTTCACGCGGCCCCAGCAGACGGTCCGTCCGTCGAGGCCGGCCTGTGTTACGGCGGCCGTTTTTCCCAGCGGCGGGCGCCCGCCGAGCGTGTTGTAACACCGCCCGCCCAGCACGCTCGCGTCCGCCAGTGACGCACGGCGGCCGACGGCCGAAAAATTCACATTCCCGACGCCGGCGGTCTGTCCGCACCGAATTTGGCCGGGCGGGGCCCGGGCACCGCCTATGGGGCGGCGAAAACACACTGGCGTCGCCTGCGGCCTGGCGCTGCTGTTCGTTCGGCGCCAAACCCACCGGTCGAGCTGTTCCCGGTGTACGGCTGACAGGTCAGGTGCAACATCTGGTCAGCTCGTGTCGAGTCGAGTCGAGTCGAGTCGAGTCGAGTCGAGTCGAGTCGAGTCGAGTCAGGTCAGGTCAGGTCAGGTGCAACACCTGGTCAGCTCGTGTCGAGTCGAGTCGAGTCAGGTCAGGTCAGGTCAGGTCAGGTCAGGTGCAACATCTTGTCAGCTCGTGTCGATTCGAGTCGGGTCAGGTCAGGTCAGGTCAGGTCAGTCGGACCGGGCCAGGTCAAATCGGGTCAGGTCAGGTCAGGTCAGGTCAGGTCAGCTCCGCCGCGCCCCGGGTCCGATCCAGGGCCGTCACAGCGCACGGCCGGTACCGCCGCACCCGGCGGACCGCCTGCGCCGCGGCCGACAGCGTCCCCCGACTATCTGGAGAGGTGCCGGGCACCGGCCTGACACTGAGCCGCCGGCGGCGGCGGCCTTGACCGCGGCCATCGCCTCCACTCGACTCGACGTTTGGACGAATGTCGACGTGGCAGTGGGAAATGGAGTGCGCAGAAGAGCAAGTCATCCGCTCAAGTGTTTGCACAGCAGGGGAAAGCCGTCAGATATGCGGTGCGACGTAAATGCCAAGGCAGCCGTGCGTTCGCACCACGCAGAGCGCGTACGAAACTGGCGCCAGTTTTACTCGATATCAACAGGAAAGGCCTTGAGCGCGATCTTGAGCCTTGAGCTTTGAGCTTTGAGCTGAGCTGGTGTAACGACATTATGGCATGGGAGTTCGTACTACGACAGCAATCAGAGGTGGTGGTGACACGGCGTAATCAGGCAAACATTGCCTTTATTGACAAATTTATATTACGTTGAAATAGATTTACGAAAGACAGCCGATGCTCGTCTGATGCGTCGCCTAACCAGCCCCGCCCACTACATCGCAAGACAATATTGTCGGAATATGAATTCCAGTTCATACCACTGCCAGTTTTCATAGCGCGTTGCAATCGAGAAGCCTGGTGGCCACACAGCAGCCGTCCACGAGCCCAGGCCGGCACAGCCCTGCTCGGGCCACGCCTGCCCGACCGGCAGCTGTGCTGGGAGCTGTGCTGGAGGAGGCCGCCGCCGCACGACGCGTCGGCGAGGCGGTGCGCGTCTGCCGAGCGGCGCGCTGTGCCGCCGCGGTCCGCGTTACAGCGGGTGCGCGTCTGCCGAGCCGCGCGCTGTGCCGCCGCGGTCCGCGTCACAGCGGGTGCGCGTCTGCCGAGCGGCGCGCTGTCGCCGCCGCGGTCCGCGTCACAGCGGGTGCGCGTCTGCCGAGCGGCGCGCTGTGCCGCCGCGGTCCGCGTCACAGCGGGTGCGTGTCTGCCGAGCCGCGCGCTGTGCCGCCGCGGTCCGCGTCACAGCGGGTGCGCGTCTGCCGAGCGGCGCGCTGTCGCCGCCGCGGTCCGCGTCACAGCGGGTGCGCGTCTGCCGAGCGGCGCGCTGTGCCGCCGCGGTCCGCGTCACAGCGTGTGACGCGGCGACGCCGACCACCGAGCCGTGTGCGTGTGGCAAGACAGGCGGGACGCACCAACAGCGGCCGGAGTCGTATTGGAAACCAGCGACAAATGTCGGACATCTTAAATACGTCAGTCGCGGTTCTTTGACGTGTCCAGGCCTCCCGTCATGTCACTTTACCAATCACAGCATGTTGGGCCAAAATATAGATGTGAAGGACGGACGTCAAGAGGGCACGTCCGTTGGGCCGGGTCTTTCCACGGCGGCCATAGCAGCCGGAGCCGCTACAACGGCCGGGTAGCCGGAGCTGCCGGCCCGACCGGCTGCCAGCGAGCAGCCGTCAGGGACCGGTCAGCGCCCCACACGAAACCTACAGATGTCGAGCGTCTCCAGTCCACTCTGTGCCACCGCTGAACTGCCTCAGCGTCGGACAGCGTATAAAGCAACACCGCCGGGACAAAAGCCTGTATAATACAACAAACATCGACGCGTGCAAACCTCTGTCGGCCCGGCCCCGGCAGCCCTAACGGCGGCGGTCGCGCTGAGGTGCCGCACCGTCCGGAGTCAACAATGAGCGCACCCCACCCCGCCCCGCCAGCGTCCTCTGGCAGCCGTGCTGAGGTGCCGCACCGTCCGGGGTCAATACTGAGCATACCCCGTCCCGACCCGCCGGCGCCCTCTGGCAGCCGTGCTGAGGTGCCGCACCGTCCGGGGTCAACACTGAGCATACCCCGTCCCGACCCGCCGGCGCCCTTCGGCAGCCGCGCTGAGGTGCCGCACCGTCCGGGGTTATTAACACTAAGCATACCCTGTCCCACCCCGCCGGCGCCCTTCGGCAGCCGCGCTGAGGTGCCGCACCATCCGGGGTCAACACTGAGCGCACCCCACCCCGCCCCGCCAGCGTCCTCCGGCAGCCGCGCTGAGGTGCTGCACCGTCCGGGGTCAACACTGAGTGCACCCCGTCCCCCAACGCCCTGCCGGCGTCTTTCAAAGAGGTCTTGAAGAAGACAGAAGTCCAAGTTCCACGGTGTGAACAGTGACCTGTGTGTCATCCCGCCATGACTCACGCACTGAGCTAACTGTGTCGCCGGAGAGGCCGGGCGCAGAGTTCTGGCTTCGACACAACGGACGAGACGAGAGTCCCCTGATACCGCGGCGGCGGCTGGCGGCGTCTGGACAGTGCAGACGGACGCCCCCGCACGCCTCCGCCGATGTCTTTGTCCCGAATAAGGCCCAGAGGGCCGCGTCCACTGAAGCGCCGCACCTGTCTTACTCAACATTTAACAACGCAAAAAGTCTGCAGCGGCGCGGTATGCCATAACGTCCAGCAGGCTAACAAAAACAGTGGCCGGGGGACGTGACCTCAGCAAGGCCATGGCTGTCCGCGGCGGAGCTCGGACCACCGCGCAGGCAAAACAGCCGCCAACAGCCGAGGTCCGTGCGTCCGTGGACCGAACGGCAAGGCGGTCTCACACTTGACCCGCGCTGTGAGATCCCCTCCAGGTGCCCTCTATTAAACTGTTCTCTGTGATCTTTCTTGTAGCTTCTACAATACGAAAAATGGACCCCCTCCCCCTAAGAAAAATAGAGTATGGCGTCTGTTTTGCAAGATATGGGAACGCACAGTTTGCGGAGCCTCTTCCTCTTAATGAGTGCACAAATGCGACCAATGTCGCAAATCCGGTGGTATGGGGATGCAAACGGCCCTGACCCGTGGGAAGCCCTGCTCAGTAATCGGGAGAGAGAAAATCAGGGTCTGAGGATGGCCCGATCCAGCACCTATTTTGCGGGAACGTGCGAAGAACGTTAACTTCGCGATCCAAGCGTGAGGACAGATATTCTGGTCAGCCTGTGGAGCATGTCTCCCGTCTCCAGTGGCTATGCCCGAGGTCGGGCCCCACTCCTTCGGCACGGGCGTCTTGCAGCGTTGCGCGGTGACATCCAGCTCCCGCGATCACCGATGCGGGCGCGAGTATGTTGCTCCGGACCATTATTCACACACTCCCCTCGGAGTTCACCAACAACTCTTCTGGCAGTTTCCCAAAGCTCTCCTCGTATTTCCCCACCACCAACAGGGCAATGCCTCACGCCATTCCATTCCATTTCTGAGCACAGTTGGCCCCACGAGCTGCCAGACCCCAGACCCCGTAATCACCAACGGCTGCCCTCTATTTCTGACCCGTCTTCCGACGCCCTGTCCCTGCCCTGCACCCCGTGGCGGCTACTGACCTGCCCCTGTCCCCGGAGCCGGGCCGCTGATGCTGCCCGATCGCGTTGAATATCTGCAACAGAGACACGAGGTCAGGTCATGGGACGCGAGGTCAAGTTAACGTAACATTAATTGAATACAAATACAATGGAACGCATCACCTCCAAATGTGGTGACATGACCCAAATACAAATGTTCGCCATCCAAACAGTTTACTGTCTGCGGATATTCGAAGTTCATACCACATCATTAGACCCAGACAACGGCCAGAGTTTATCGGAGTTATCAACACATCTGGGCGAGCCGGCCTCGCTGTACATGGATGACAGATGACCACCCGGCGCCAAACACAACCAGAGCCAGGGTACCCGATGGCGTCGGCATGCGGATGAGGCCAAGCTGCAGGGCACGTGACGGCCAACCACTGGGGGAGCGGGGGCACGGGAAGGGTCCGTCAGCAGCCGAGCACGTGCCGCCAGGAATCCGTCCCACCACGGCTCTCGGTCGGGCGCCGGCCGGCGGCCTGGTAACCACAAACGTCATCGGACACGGCCGGGGGCCGGAGGCGGCCACGGCCGGCAACAGCGGCCACGGCACGGCCATGTCCGGCTCACAATGACGGCCAGGAGCACGAACAGGGTGGGGAGGGGCTTACAGCCAGGGACCACGCCGACGCCGAGGCAGCCAGTGGGGTCATAACGATGGCGGTCAAAAGGGTGTGTGCCTCTCACGCTCTCACCTAATCAGGCTGCCTGTGTGTCAACGTGCGTGTCAAAAGGGTGTGTGCCTCTCACGCTCTCACCTAATCAGGCTGCCTGTGTGTCAACGTGCGCGTGTTTCTTGGCTACATATTCGCATGCATTCTGCGCTATGTGTTCACCGTTCACGTACCAGCCGGATGTCACCGAACACTGGCCCTCTTCAAGTGGAAAAGCCTACTAACGCTCAACAAATGCATAAACGCGCTAGAGCCCGGTCGAGGGATGGCACGGCCCGGCCCGAACAGCGAGGCGCGGGGGAGAGGCTCTTCGGCTGACATGGCCGGCGCGAGAAGGGGATGTGAACCATACACCGGTACCGGCGCCAGCGAGAGGCTTCAGCAGCCGTGGCCGGAGAGGACCACACCCAACGGCGGGCGGACGAACGGGCGGACCACACCCCACGGCGGGCGGACGAACGGGCGGACCACACCCCACAGCGGGCGGACGAACGGGCGGACCACACCCCACGGCGGGTAGACGAACGGGCAGACCACACCCAACGGCGCCCCCATGCGCATTTCATCTCCTCGCGGCCTCATCGCCGCACCACGCCGCCTGTCGCACAAACCGTTTGGCCGCTGGGCGGACCCCAATCTGATGGTGAGCCCAGGTAGGTTGTAAATGGTTTAGAATCTACCTACAATCCGTCGCAAAAACCACCGGCAGCAGCCACACTCTTCCAATGAGGCCCTGGTTCCGTCGGCCGCCAGCACCAAACGCAGAGCGGCACATTGGCAGCGCCGACGGAGGGGCGTGTCCACGCACACCCAGGGCCCCACGCACACCCAAGGCCTTGGCACGCGCTCCGCTCCCACATGCATGCGTGTAATGTGGGAGTGGCGCCTGGTGCGGCTCCCACAGGACACGCGTGTCAATTGCTGGGAATTGCGGCCGCCACATCACGCACCTAGTGGTATGATAAATGTCAGCACAAGTCCACGGCAGACGGCGCACGAGGCGTCGCAATGCGGGCACATATCTCGATGGCGTCACGGCGCGCCCGCAGACGTTGCCGTTTCTAGCGAGCTATTGCGACCGTCGTCGGTACGATAGCGACGTCCCAGCGGCTTTGCACAGCTTGGGAAAGCCGCTGAGTATCTCGCCACAGCCGGGTGCCCAGCGGCCTAAGCATGAGCACCCTGCACGGCGGCGTGTATCACTTCAAAAACCCGTACTCGCGCCGGCTCGCATTAGTCGAGATGGAGGAGAAATGACTGAACGTCCTGATAGAGATGCATTTTCTCGCAGTCACGCTGGTGAGCGTGTAGTGGCGCTAGCCGCGATCATCCTCGCGCACGCGGATCACAGCACCAGTCAAACAAACAATGCAGTCCTCCGTCCTGACGCGGCGGACAGCCAGCTGAATGGCATCCCACCTTTCCTGGCTTACCGTGACCAGCGTCCAAATATTTAACCGGAGCGACCCACCAGAGTCACCGACCATTCGCGCAGGCATGCCGGCCGGTTAACGTGACAGCAAGCGCGGACCAGTATATATATACACAGCCGCTGTGTATACACAGCGCTCTGCCGTCAGCCACTCCGCTCCGTTGCTCGCACTCCTCGCTCGAGACGTTCCGATCGGGGCCCGGTATTATGGGGCCGCCGGCTCCCCAGAAACCATCGGAAAAGTTATCCGGGACCGGTAACGGCCCTGCCCATAACAAGCGCAGCAGATAACGGCGTAAAAAGGGTGACGGCATTGACGTCACAGTGAGGAGGAAGCAGGATTCGAGCGGCAACAAGCTTCTGATTTTTTCACACGTGTGTGATTGCGCTGATGTCTGTGTGACTGACTGCCGGAGACATTCAGAGCTTTACTGATGCCTGTGTGATGCCTGCTTCGTCTTGTTTGGGTATCAATACAGGAGAGGTGCACTTCCTCGGATGCCGCGCGCGCTGCATGACACGCTGCGTCGTCCCGATGGGCTTGCTCATTCCCCAGCATTCGGCTAAAGCCAATCAATCACACCACACCCGTCGCCTTAACTGCGCACGTTCAGATAGCGGTGAGCTCAGCCGGCCAAGCCCAACAGCTCTATTCAATACACCACGTTAGCGGGGGCCCGGCTGACAGAGCAGCGCACCTGTTACGGGCCGAGATAGCCATATTGCCGGCACCAGGTGGGACGGTCGAGGACCGCCACCAAATCCAGGCCAATCGACCTTAGACTGAGTCAGTGCACCCGGTAGCCGGCCGCTGCAGGGTCTGCCGCTGACGTCGCGTGATGCCCGAGCCGTCATGTCACCCAATCAATGGCTACTGCTCAGCCATTCAAAACGGACGCAAAAATGCAAACACCCAAACCAGTTGTAACAAACAATCACACTTTCCGGATCGCATGAGGGCAGTTTTTCCACGCCACGGCTACAAAAGTACAGCAGCCCACAAGGACTCAGTCAATGCCAACACCATTGTATTCCAGAATGTCCTCTGCAAAAGGAACTATGACGGAATTCGACGGCAAAAGCGGCCCGGACTAACACCATGAGTCCGGGTGAGACCAGACTGATTGGTAGACAACTCAAAACATACATTGCCAAAGCTGCCAAACACGCAGCTGTCATGAATCGTCCAGAAACATTCAGGGATGCTAATTGTTAAAACAAGTTTTACGAGAATGCCGCCGCTTATACACGCACTAGTTTCTACGCGTCAGCCCGTAGGAGAGCGCTGCACGTCAAGGCAACGAAAGGCAATACTGGGGGACAAAAAAAGCCTTGAATGCCCAGGGCGACTGAATATCCGCCCATTCCATCTGAGCATCCAAATAAGGCCGTCTTATAGATCTGGCCGTGTTCAAGCCCGATATCAATGCAGGCAATGAAGCCAGACAGGAAATGCAAAATCCGCTTTCCTTACAAGACATGTTTGGGCTTTGTGAAAGCGAGGCCACGGTCTCGGTTCTACGTCATCGCTGATTGCAACACATGCAATGGAGAACAACATACGAGTACGAGAGAATATGCAAAAGTGCAAAAGCGAGAGCGAGAGAAAGAGAAAGAGAGAGAAACAGTAAGACACAGAGACAGAGACAGAGACAGAGACAGAGACAGAGACAGAGACAGAGACAGAGACAGAGACCAGACAGAGTACAGAGACAGAGACAGAGACAGAGACAGAGACAGAGACAGAGACAGAGACAGAGACAGAGACAGAGACAGAGACAGAGACGAGAAGCGACAGAGACAGAACAGAGACAGAGACAGAGACAGAGACATAGACAGAGACAGAGAACAGAACAGAGAACCGAGACAGAGACAGAGACAGAGACAGAGACAGAGAACAGTACAGAGACAGAGACATAGACAGAGACAGAGTACAGAGACCGAGACAGAGACATAGACAGAGCAGATGACAGAGACAGAGACAGGACCAGAGACAGAGACAAAAGGAGACAGAGAGAGAAAGGAGAGAGAGAGGAGAGAGAGAGAGAGAGAGAGAGAGAGAGAGAGAGAGAGAGAGAGGAGAGAGAGAAGAGAAGAGAGAGAGATAGAATAGAGAGAGGAGAGAGAGATAAGAGAGAGAGAGATAGAGAGAGAATAGAGAGAGAGAAGGAGGAGATAGAGATAGAGAAATAGAGAGTAGAGATAGAGATAGAGACATAGACAGAGACAAGAGCTAGATAGATAAATAGATGTATAGATAGATAGATAGATAGATAGATAAATAAATATAGACCAGACAGACAGATAGACAGACACACACATAGACAGACAGACAGACAGACAGACAGACAGACAGACAGACAGACAGACAGACAGACAGACAGACAGACAGACAGACACAGATACAGACAGAGACGAGACGAGACCGAGACCGAGACCGAGACCGAGACCGAGACCGAGGCAGACACAGACACAGACACAGACGCAGATGCAGACGCAGACGCAGACACAGACGCAGACGCAGACACAGACCCAGACGCAGACACAGACACAGACACAGACACAGATACAGAGACAGAGACAGAAACAGAGGCAGAAACAAAGACAGACACAGAGACAGAAACAGGGACAGAAACAGAGACAGCGATCACGAGTGACTGACCGGAGTTAGACCGCTCGCAAATGGCCGTGTGCCATATCGTGGGTTCGAAGCTGAGTACCGGCCTGATGTTTCACCGTTCCACTGCTACATTCGACCCGGGACCGCTGCCTCAATGACCACAAACGTTGTGAGTACCGCAAGCCAAAACAAGGGCGAACTGATAACACGTTGCCGTAGTGCTAATAAATTCATCTCACCTATCCGGACAGCAAGGACAAACGGCCACGACAGACAGGACTCGACACACGCTTATCAACTAGGAGTGGGTTTGTCCAGCAACTGGCCGGGCCGCATTGATTTGCAGGTGTTTCATCGTGTGTCATCCGAGCCGCATTGGGCCAGGTGTGCGCACTGAAGTGCTGCCGCCGATAACCAGAGGAAGATCCGCAAGTGCTGATAACTTGGCACACGTGCCGCGGACATGATGAAATAACTCTGGATCCTAAGACTGACATGGTGCCGGCCTGGGTCCGCGCTGTCACACGATAACATGAGAAGTGAAATGCCAGGGGCAGATAACCTGGCTCGCCGTTTTTCGGAGATGCCTCATGGGGAACTAGGTCCGGACTTATGCATCTTATTAAGGCATGTGTCTAGCTGCCCAGCCTCGTCCAGCACAATACCTTGCCCACGCCGAGCGACGTCCGAGCCTCAATTCGACGCCCGGTTATGATGACGCGGCAAAGGCTGCGGTTGACAGTCGCCATCAAGTGTGTACCAGGCATACCAACACATCATACCTGTGTCGCATGGAACTCATAAACACACTAGCCAGGCATGCCAATACATCATACCTGTGTCGAATGGCCCTCATAAACACACTGCCACCGCACAATGTAGTGGCGTGAGCAAAGAACTGTCGCTAAATTCACCACATCAAGCACCATTTTCAGACTCAGACGCATAACGTACTGTCCGTGTAGTTCAGAAGTAGCGGCCATTGTGTCTCGCGGCGTGTCAGCTGTAGTGGTTATTCACGCACTTGGACCCAGCTGACGCCGCCGGTCGGACAGCACGCCCATCGCGCGGCAGACGCGTGGGTCTGCGCCCCACGGACTGCACCTCAGGCGAGGGCCATGTCGACGCCCGACTGGCATCTGGTGCCGGGGGGTCCCAACAGGGCAGGCTCGCCGCGTCACGGCCGGGCCCAGAGAGGTCCCAACAGAGCAGGCTGGCCGCGTCATGGCCAGCCCCGAGAGGTCCCAACAGAGCAGGGTTGCCGCGTCACAGCGTGATCCCGAGGGGTCCAAACAGGGCAGGGTAGCCGCGTCACGGCATGGCACCGAGGGCTGGTGTCACTCGGCAAAAACTAAACTTGGACGGACCCGCTCTACCGCGGTGGTGGCGTCGGCGCCATCAACACCAGCCGCGATCGAGAAGGACCAAATACCACAGCAGTTCCCGCAGAACGTCCGGTCACATTCCTAAGAAGTGAGCGAATCAGTGCTAAAAGGAAAAGCGCAAGAAGAAACGCACTGTGTTTACCAGTAAATCCTAGGAATACATCAGGAATACACCAGCACAGATTCGGAACATTACGAAGATATTTAGTCCATAAACACGATGTCAGATGGCAAATCCCCTCCAGTTCACAAAGAGCAGGGCGTGGGCACTACCGCGGGTCAAATGGCAGGTGGCGCCTCCAGCGGCCGTCCCGCGCCAGCTGTCAGCGTGTGGTGGCATTCCTCAGGCCGACAGATGTCGCTGACTGTCAGGCGGCGGAGGCTCCCAACAGAGCAGGGTGGCCGCGTCACGGTCTGGCCCCGAGGGATGCCAGCAGAACAGGGTGGCATGGCCATGAACAGAACATGGCCTTGGCCTCGTGAGGCAATGCTGCCAAAAACCGACATACCCAGGTATGTCACTGGCTGTGTCACCAGGAGTGTCCGCAGTCACCAATGGGTGGTCCTGCCGCACGTCTCCTGAGAACTGCCACCGCATCGCACGGCACCACCGCTCCAGCGAACGCGTCCCGCAGCCCCGTGCCCGGCGGCTGTGCCCGCTGCGGTCTCCTGCCCGGCAGTGGTCCCCGCTGCGGCCCCGTGACGGGCGGCTGTCCCTGCTGCGGCCCCGTGACGGGCGGCTGTCCCCGCTGCGGCCCCGTGACGGGCGGCTGTCCCTGCTGCGGCCCCGTGACGGGCGGCTGTCCCCGCTGCGGCCCCGTGACGGGCGGCTGTCCCCGCTGCGGCCCCGTGACGGGCGGCTGTCCCTGCTGCAGCCCCGTGACGGGCGGCTGTCCCTGCTGCGGCCCCGTGACGGGCGGCTGTCCGCCGGCTGCGGCCCCGTGCGACGGCTGCCCCGCTGGACCTGTTTCCAGCGGCTGCGCCGCGGACCCGTGCCAGCGGCTGGGCGGCTGTGACCTGGTCAGCGACTGTACGGGCGCGTCCCCGCTGCGGCCCCGTACCGGCGGTGTCCCTGCTACGGCCGTTGGACGACCGGTGCCGCGCGGCCCCGTGACGTCGCTGGCTGTGACCCGAACCCGGCGGCTGTACGCCGCTGCGACCTGTGCCCGGCGGCTGTACGCCGCTGTGACCTGTGCCCGGCGGCTGTACGCCGCTGCGGCCGTACCCGGTGGCTGTCCTCGCTACGGCACCGGCGCGGGGGTAGCATGAGCGGCGGCCGACGCTGGATCTCAGCAGTTCTGCCACCGCCGCCGCCGGCTGGCGCGGCCGGCGTCCGCTGTCGGCAGCAGATGGCGCTGGCGCCGGCTCGGGCCAGCCCCACCGGCCGCCCCGCAGCGGATGACGCAGGATCCGCCGTCCCCTCTGTCGCTCTCGTCAGACCAAGCGCGGCACTGGCGGCGGCAGATCGACGGCAGGTCACGCCGGACCTCCGGAGCGCAGGTGCAGGTGCAGGGAAAGCTATCACAGGTCGGCGATCGGACCGAGACATGCCGCCAGCGAGCAGCACCAGGCGGCGGCGGACGTTGGCTAGCCGGTCGCGGACCTCCGGGGAGGCAGTGGTGGAGACAGAGGCGACCTGTGCCCGGCGTGCGGCGGACATCCCGCGATCGTGTCGACGCATTCCGGGGGCAGCGGTCGGCACCGAGCTGCTGGAGACGCCTGGAGGCGATGCTGAGACACGCCCCGAGCAGCCAGGCTATGGGGGGGAGGGGAGGGGGGCTCTGGCGGGGTGCAATCAGGTCAGACGACCGCTGCTTCCGACCGAGACACATTGTACTGAGACTGTATCGTCTGGAGGCAAACGCTCGCGAAGATACCGCCAGCAAATTGGCCACGAAATCCTCATGTTATCAGTAGTACAGATGGTCTCATGGGCACATGACAAATAGCCGCGTTACGCTAGTTTATGGATCTTGGCCCAAAAATGTAGCCGAATGCGCATCGCTGAGCCTCTCTGTGTGGCATATGAAACCCAGCCGGGCCCCTCGTCAGCACGTTAATATCATTCCAAGCCGCAATGCAGGGCGCCACAACGCATGGAAGCCCAGCTTGCGGTCGGTAATGCAAAACCATGAAGCGGAGTTACATCGCCAGGATTGCGGCTTAATAAATTCTGTTGCTAAACAATGCGCTGCCGACCCAAAAGGGCACATTACAACAGCCAAACACCGATCAAAACGTTCATTACTGAACCCGCGGGCACATCACGGCAGCCAGGCACTGGTCAAACCGTCCGCCACTGAACCCGCGGGCACATCACGGCAGCCAAACGCCGGCCAACCCGTCCGCTACTGAACCCGCGGGCACATCACGGCAGCCAGACACTTGTCAAACCGTCCGCTACTGAACCCGCGGGCACATCACGGCAGCCAGACACTGGTCAAACCGTCCGCCACTGAACCCGCGGGCACATCACGGCAGCCAGACACTGGTCAAACCGTCCGCCACTGAACCCGCGGGCGCATCACGGCAGCCACGCCGCGCCAGCCGGACGCATCAACAAGGCCAACAAATTAGCCCCTGGATCAGACCTCTGGACATGCTCATGATGCCGAAATACGGCACGAAGGCCAGGTTCTGTCATGTGCGGATATGTGACGCCGACACACCTTCTTTACACGGCTGAGACGCCCTCAGTCATGATGTGAGCTGGAATGGAAAGGTCTAACCCGATTACGGTACCTGCATGCCATTTTTCTCCTAAAACGTCCTCCATCAGACTCAGTCAAGCTTACACTGTCCAGCTCAGCTAACTCGAAGGCCTCGTTAAGCTGTGTGAGTGGTAGGTCGAGCTTTGCACAATCCGATCCGTGTGTTTTACACCGCTCCGCCCTTGTCAGTGTCGTTACCTGTCAGAGTAAGGGCAGGGCCGTGTACAAACCCAGCCCTAGCTCCCCATAGTCAGCGTAAGGGCAGGGCCGTGTACAAACCCAGCCCTAGCTCCTCACAGTCAGCGTAAGGGCAGGGCCGTGTACAAACCCAGCCCTAGCTCCTCATAGTCAGCGTAAGGGCAAGGCCGTGTACAAACCCAGCCCTAGCTCCTCATAGTCAGCGTAAGGGCAAGGCCGTGTACAAACCCAGCCCTAGCTCCTCATAGTCAGGGTAAGGGCGGGACCGTGTACAAACCCAGTCCTAGCTCCTCACAGTCAGCGTAAGGGCAGGGCCGTGTACAAACCCAGTCCTAGCTCCTCATAGTCAGCGTAAGGGCAAGACCGTGTACAAACCCAGTCCTAGCCCCTCATAGTCAGCGTAAGGGCAAGGCCGTGTACGAACCCAGCCCTAGCTCCTCATAGTCAGCGTAAGGGCAAGGCCGTGTACAAACCCAGCCCTAGCTCCTCATAGTCAGCGTAAGGGCAGGGCCGTGTACAAACCCAGCCCTAGCTCCTCATAGTCGGCGTAAGGGCGGGGCCGTGTCCCAGTCCTAGCTCCCCAAACCCAGTCCTAGCTCCTCACAGTCAGCGTAAGGGCGAGGCCGCGTACCAGCCCAGTCCTAGCTGCTCAAAGACGCTGGCTCAGTTCACATTCGGTTGCATGGAATGCACACGAGTGACTATCCACTCAATTGACGAGTAGAGCCTGTCTCCGCGTGGAACTCTTCGTATCTCTGCAGAAAGGTTCAGGCAGTTCCACGTCCGTTGGTGGTTGAACATGACCAGATTCCGACCCAGTGACATGAACATGATCCGACATTCCGACCCCCCTCCCAGCAGCTGCACACCATGGGACCCGCACCTGCATGTTCTACGATACAGCCAGGAACTCGGTTCTGCTTGTGACGGCCGAATACGCACAGCCATGCTACGATAAGGCCGACCAGCAGCCGTACATACCCGGTCGTAGTTGTGTATAAGCTGGGCCAGCAGCTGATTGGTGGCCGCCTGCTGCTGCAGGCCGGGCGCCGCGCCCTCATTGGTCGACGCGACGCGGAACACGTTCGGCCCGAACACGACACCCAGCGTCTCCGACGACATGTGCGCCGCGCTGCGGGGTGGGAAGGGGGGAGGGGCACAGGTCAGCACACCGCTCACGGAGGGTGACACGCGCCGGCAGGGACGACTACCGCTACACAAACGCATGGCCGCACCACGACAGGAGGAGTTCACGTTGAAACCCACCTGACGAACACGGCAGTCCGAGCAGATACGCCTTCACGGGGCGACAGACATTTAGACTCATGAAACGGCCTGTCGTTGGCTTGCCACTGCCCCAATGACCATACCGCGGAAAGATCTCGGCTAACCCGGGCACAGGGCAGATCCAGCCCAACCAGACAACGCCTCCCGCCTGACCAGACCCCAGAGGGACCCGACCAGAGCGGCCGGAGCGCACCGGAGCGCCCGACACCGCCGCCCTACCTGTGGAAGCTGGTGACGCGTCTCAGGAACGAGCAGAGGAAGCGTAGCAGGGCGTAGTGCGGCGGCGGCAGCGCGTGCACCAGCGCCGAGAGCCGCTGGCAGCGGCGCGCCAGGCTGCAGTCGTCTACGGCCAGCAAGAGACGGCCGGTCAGACATGGCCAGCGACGGAGACGGCCAGTCATACACGATCAGCGACAGACAGCCGGTCAGACACGGCCAGCGACGGAGACGGCCGGTCAGACACGGCCAGCGACGAAGACGGCCAGTCATACACGATCAGCGACAGACAGCCGGTCAGACACGGCCAGCGACGGAGACGGCCGGTCAGACACGGCCAGCGACGGGGACGGCCGGTCATACACGATCAGCGACAGACAGCCGGTCAGACACGGCCATCGACGGAGACGGCTGGTCAGACATAGCCAGCGACGGAGACGGCCGGTCAGACACGGCGGCCAGCGAAGGAGACGGCCGGTCAGACACGGCCAGCGACGGAGACGGCCGCGCGTCCGCGGAGACGCGGCCCGTAATGCCACTGTCTCTCGTGATTGTCATGCTAAAATAGCCACCATACGCGACCGTCATGCCAGGACAGCGATATATGACACATACATCTCTTCGTATAAATGTATGACATTTACAATGGGACACATCTGTGTCAGAGCCCCAGCCTCACAGGTGCGACGGTCACATTAGACCGCATGGTGTGACACTGGCCATATCATCGCAACGGCATAGCTGCGCAATAAGACGCCTTTGTCCGACGCTGGGCAAATATCTGCAAACAAACGTCCGATTAGCGCCTTCAGCACGAGCTGGCACGACAGGCCGGTGTCAACACAGGGCCACAGCTCCCAGACGGCTGCAGCCCGGCCGGCCGTTCCCCGCCCACCAGAGGCTCCTGTTTCGGAGACTGCCTCGGGCCGGCACACGCCCCGGCCCGTGCACCTGAATAAACGGTCTGGGGCGGCGCACCGGCGCGCGGCCGCCGCTCGGTTTCTCACGGCCGGACCCCACGCCCTCGCC